CGTCTGCTTTGCGGCATCGGCTCTTATGACCTGTTCATCGGGGTGTAAGCCGGGGAAACACCTCCATACTGCACCCCAGTTACACCCTGAGACCATGACTGTGATATTCCAGTGCCCTTCACAGTGTCTTGTGCTGCTACGAACATCTAAGTCCAGTTGTGGGTCATCTAAGTCCAGTTGTGGGTGTTGTTGAGTATTGGATTCATTTTTTTCCGATTTGACAGTAGTGGAGCAGCACACAATCATGAAGCAAGATTTCTTGAAAATCTGTTCCCAATCCTTGGGTGAATGATACTGAACATGTTTTGGATAGATCATTTGACTATCCTGCTGCATATACTGTGTGTGTGTGTGTTTTGTTTGTGTAGGTCCGCTTTGTGTACGTGTTCTTCCGGAGGATGGCACTAGTGGATTTTTCTTGGCTCATTTCCAGCGATGTGCACCTTCAGTCACCGACACGCCCCTACAAGTAGAGGAGGCGGTAGATTCCTCAATGCAACTATCAGCAAACGGGAAAGATCGCAGCACCAATGGTACAAGTAATGCTTCAGGGAAGCTCTGGAAGCCTTCCTTGGCCTCCAGTACTGGTCCCAGCAATTCCAACTGTCGGCAGAAAAGCATAAGTGCAAAGAACCTGCAAGAGCGTCCCCCACTCAGTAAAGATAAATCTAGCAAGAGACAGAAAGTGACAAAGCGGAGAATTCGTCGAAAACCTGTAACAAGTTAGTGCACTCAGAGATTGCCGTGTGATATTTCATGAACTTTCCAAAAGTGGCTTGTTGCTTTCACTTCAGCAAGTTGTAGTGCATTGTCGGATGGGCTGCTATGGGACTGTATATTCACTATTCACACGGCTTTTCCACCCCTGGACTATTTGGACGTGCTTTGCATTGTTCCATTTTTGCTCCCAAAGCGGCGGCACATGGTGGCATGTCAGTTGGTAAAACCCACTCTGACCGCCCTTTCTGAACACATAATAATTATTATTATTATGCTTCTGAAAACTGAGTTGCTATGGCTCACAAGGCAAGGATGAAGGCGTAAGTAACCTTCCATTTGTTTCAAAATTGGCCACAAACGAACCTGTTTCCTTTCGGATCTAGCTTGGACAACACAACTGATATTCCTATATAGAGAGTGGCTGTTTTACAGTGTTTTCTCATGACAAAGCTGACCCTAACCCACCCACCAAAGAATTACATGACTTCTTTTTTCTTTTTTTGTTGAAGTTTACAGATCATCCTGCTTGAGCTGTACAGGAATTCTATTTTCATCTTAACATTGACTTTGGTTGACAGAGCTAAGTATAGCTACTGCTAAGTGATTGAGGAACACACCAGTCTGCATGGCTTCACATGGAAACAATGAGTTGATGATTGCTGTCTTCCTGGGGTTTCTGCAGCATTTTTCGGGTGTGACTTCCTGCCCTCACGACAATGCCAGGTATTCTCATGTGTTGCTTGCTGCACCATGCACCAGCAGCACTCAGCAGTGCATACCTGCAGCTGGTTGAGAACAGCTGCTGCATTGAGTTGGTTGCCACTTATGCATGTTATGCTGCCAGAAGGCACAACTGAGTGACTCAAAATGAAACCTCACTGCACACTCTACTTCTTCTGATCTGGTGTGGTGGAGAGGGTGTCCTATTCCCTGGGGGCCCTGGGACCCACGTGTGTCTGTACTTTGTATCATCCATGCAGGTCGTTTGGATGTGTCGATCTGCCTAGTTCACTAGGACGCTGTGCACCCCTGACCTGCCTGATAAGTAGTTCCCACGATTGGTTTGTGCTAACTCAGTAACTGGCTGGGTTTCCATCTACTTGTAATTCTCATTTTTCTGATTTCTGGCAAAAGATCAAAGACTGAAAGGCATCTTGAAGTGCAAGAGACAAACGAAACTTCACAAGTATGAGTGGTGCATGCTGGGTTCTGCTGCACTGGGAGTGTAAATGATGTGCTTGTACACACAAGCTTAGCAAGCATGGACTAAAAGGAAAAGGAATTATCTTGATTGATTGATCTGCCCTAGAGTCAATGACAATGACGTGGTGCCATGTCTTTTTGGCACTTCCAATTAAGGCAGCTGTGAAGTCCTGAGTCAAGCAGGGTTGGATCTAGGGCTATAACCCGAGTGGTGCCGAAAATATCATGACACATTTTCTTCTTTTTTTAAATTAATGATCATAGGTACACCACCGCATACCATTTCTGGCAAAACTTGAGGTGTGCAAGGGCACCTTTCGCACCCCTGGATCCGCCTTACTCTAAAGTTCATAATCCCACTACTATGTAGTCACTCTTGCCGAATCAGAAACTAGCCGTACCGGTTATGGTGAAACGTGTCTTGAAATTAATTCAATTGATTAAATATTAGGTTTGATCAGTGCTGGAAAAGCCAGCTGGTATAATGGAATAAAGGAAAGTGGAATAGAAAGCGGAGAAGCTTATAGTTGCCATCAAGGCTCTCAAGTTCGAGGATACTCAACGAAAATCTCTGCTCCATTGGAAAGATTGGCAATGCTCAAGTTGGAATTTTGGTGAAACTGGAAAAGAAAGGAAAAAAAGCAGCTGGCCAGGCAGTATACACATTCAAGTGACCAAGTCCTAAAAGTGATGGATTGAGTAATTCAGATTACTGCATAGTGCAGGAAATAGTGGGGCAAACTTAAGAAAAAGGGCAGTTATAATTAGACACACGATACGCACGCCACCGCCGCACACACACACACACACGAACGCACTAACTCACTGACTCGCGCTGCTGTACACTCGTTGACGACGAGACAAGACTGCTTGAAGTAGAATCGACTATGGTTGAGGACGCATTGGAGCGGTTGTCTACTTTGTCGCTGGGGGTTGACTCACCGGGGGTTGACGCGCTTGTGCTGGTGCTCGTGTTTGAGCGGTCGTCCAGTTTGTCCGGGCACGGCACTGCTAAGATTGGGTTGTATGTCGGCTGAGTACCTGTGTTGTACGGAGGTGGAACATTGTTGGTACCTTGTTTCGTCTTCCCCGCACATCGTTGCACAGCTGTTTTACAAGGTGCTGCAGCGTTCGTGTTGCTGCGATATTTGCACACAACATAGACAACTGTGCCACTTGTGGCCACAATCAGCAATAGGCAGGCTGCTATGATAACAACAAGAAGGAGCGGGTACTGCTGAGTGTTTTCCTCCGGACCGCCATGTACACCTTCTGTACTGCCGGCCGTGGCTTTGGATGGAGTCGACGATGGCGTCAATGCCACTTTATCTGTAACAAATCACAGGAAGAAAAAAAAAACAGTGTACATGAGACAGGCGACTACAGAAACAAGTTCAAACAACCCTAGGTAACCAATACTAACCATACTAAATATATACTGCATTGATGTGCCTAATTCAGTATTGGTGACGCTTTATAGCAGCATGGTTGGCAAATGCCGTCTGTTGCCAAAGAGGGGGAAAAACAGCCGAAAACACCACGCGTTGCACTACAGCAACCATCTGGCAAAACATGCCAGCCAGCCCGCCCGAGCACACGCACACATGCACAAGTATCTTCTTATACGTACCACTTGGGATTGACTGCGTGTGCTGATGCTGTGCTGTGTGTGTATTGGCTGCTGTGCGTGGTGTTATGCTTCCAGTTGCCTGATACCCTGGCAGTGGTGGTGAGTTGCACATAGTGCCATTGCAACACATGCCAGAGTCACAGAGCGTCCTTGTCATCGTTCCAATGCAGCGCCTATCCGTGTAGTTGGAGTTGGCATAGCAGGAGCCGCCGAGGCGCGAACACACTCCGCTGCTGCATGTTGAGCAACTACAGTTGACAACCGCCGTGTCGCATGCCACTGTGTAATGAGCAAGACCAGAAGGGTACACAGAACAACAGCTGTATAGGAAGAGGTTACACGTCCAACCGCTAAACAGACGGCTATGAGTCATGGAGTGGCTACACTGTTTCTTATAGCCTATCTCGTATCGAAGCCTGTTTTGAATACAAGCCTGATTTTCAAGATACACTGTCGGCACATAAGCCAGGTTTTGGTGTTCACACACATAGAAATACCAGGTTTGAATAGAAGCCTGATGTGAATATAAGCCTAGCCCTGACATCGGCTTTTACAGGAATAGGCCCGGCTTCGATACGCGGCATTACGGTATGCTACTACCACAAACTGAGCAGAAGCCAAGTGCATTTTGTCCTGAGATACTTGCATGTAGCCATCCAGAGCACAATAGTGTGAGACGCGAGTGAGTGGTAGCGTGCTACCAGCATTGCGGCGGCGGCGGCGGCGGCGGCTTACCTTTAGGAAAGTGTGGGTTACACTGGTTACAGTTATCGTGTGCACAGCAATAGACGGGATTTCCCCTGGAGCTGCTGCGGTCGGCATTGGCACGTTGAACCTTCTCAGCACTGCTCCTCTTGCAATACAGCCGCAGTTCCCGCTTTTCCAAGCAGCGTCGGAACATACCACCTTCGGTCATCTCCACGGAACACACTCCAGAGTCGGATGTACAGGAGCCGTTGGCACAATTCGTGCAATGACACACTTTGGCATATGCTGGTTTGGTTGGTTTGCTTGGCCTAGTTTCACTTGTTGTGTTCATTGTCGGAGCTTTTCGAATACCATAGTACAAGTACAGCAACAGCAGCAGCAGCAGCAGCAGAAACAAGCAGCAGAAAAAAACAGCAGAAGGTCAAGTACAGCAGCAGGTCAAGCACAGCAGAAAAACAATACAGAAACAAGGCTCCACTACTACAGTCGTCCCTCTCTAATCCGGAACCCTTGCCAACCGGCGCACTTTCTGACGAAACCGAATTAATCCGGCACTTGAATTCCGCCTCCGGCAGTGACTTTTTGAAACGAATCGCTCAAACTGCACGTAGTTTGATTTCATAATCCGGCGGTCGTAAAGCGCGTACCGTACAGGTGCACTCCTTGCCAGGCCGGCCAGGCTAGGCCAGTCTGGTCAGTGCCGCACGCGCGGGGGCCACTTCAGAGTTCAGTTCAGTTGACTCGAGTTGCGGTGCCACCGTAATCACTGCTGCAGACCTGACTGCTATATTTTCACAATTTGCTGACAGCAAGGAGTAGTGTGCTGCCAATTTTCAGGTGTGTGTGTGTGCGTGTGTGTGCAAGAGTACATGTGAACATGTTCTCTATTTTACTTTATCACTTTATCACTGTGTATATTCCTGGAGAACAGGTGAGAATATAAAGCCGTGCACCAAATACTTGGGTTGACACGGAAAAACCCTGCGTTTTGACGTATGATACATGCATACAATTGGGTAGGGCCGGGTCAGAGGGCAGGATTTCTTAATCCAGCACCCTCGTTAATCCAGCAGAACACGCCGTAGCAAAAGGTGCCGGATTAGAGAGGGACGACTGTATACTACATGTAGATGAAACGTAGAACTCCATTGTTTCATGTCTTCAGACAACAAACCACACAGGCAGTCACAAACAGTAACTTAGCCAGATGTACATGTATATTGTGAACCCTATCAGCTTTTCTTTTCTTCTGGAGAGGGGGTCGAATCAAAGGGAGTTTCTCTGTAGTGCAACTGATTACATTTGTTTTTCATGACATTATCCGCGCGCACAGGTGAGGGAACTGTACTCCTCTGGCTGGGACACTGGCCCGAGAATTCAAATGTCGGGTATTATAATTATTAATTATTAATTTTGCATCGCAGAGGCCGTTTTTTAAAAGTGTGAGGGCATTGTGGACATAGTGGATGGCTACAGTGGACTCTTCACATCTTCCGAACGGTGATCACAGTGACTAGATAGCTGAACACAGGCCGCACTCTACTCCATGGTGTTTACTGTGAATCTGCTGCAACTAACATTCCACCAGTTGGCGAGGAACAGGCTAAAGGATGAGCATAATTATAAGCAATGGCCACGTGCAGCAGAGCAATATCTCGAGGGTATAGTCAAGTAATCCTCAATATGCTGGAGATGGATGGTTATGCATCAATACAGCATACAACACAGTGAATCGTTATCGCCCCCGTTCACACAAAAACAATTTGCAACATACCGGGTATAGGGGTCTGACGGATAGGTCTGACGGACAGTCCCTTCTGACACGCTTGAAGCTTTGCTGGATCAGAGCCTTTGCAGTTACAGCAATGACCAGTGCAACATGAAGACTTAGAGCTGCTGTCGTGTGAATCGCAGAACGCCTGATAGCTAGGAGCACTCTTAGCGCTCACACAACTTGTCAATAGCATGTTGTTGGACTGAAAATCGACAAAAACAGAGAATGGGTAGGGATCATCATTACCCACAATACAATGGTGATCCAAGATCATCACTACCTTCGTCTCCCAGTATGCCAGTGGCCGGGAGACTGAAAGACCCTGATTTCGACAGTAAGACGACACAAACTCATAAAACAAGTTGCTGTGACCGCAGTGATATCCGGATTTCCTAACACTTGCTTGCAATTTATTCTGGATTTATTATAGAAGCGAAGCAGTCAAAAGAGAACATATGCCTCATACACTGGATTTGAACACTCCCCTAACATGCCACAGAAAGACATACCATGATGTGATAGCACAAGCCGTTAGTCGAACACCAGCCGAGAGTTTTGTTGCAACCCCTTCCGGAGTTGCACACACATCTCAGCTGCTCTCCTGCACGCCACGTGGAATTCCAACTAGGCGCTTTGCTGCCGCAACCCGGTCCACCAGCTGTTGTTGTTTCTGACGTGGGTGTAGCAGTCGTTGTCACTGGTGGTCCTGTGCTGATGCCCGGTGGAATCTGAAGATCGCTTTGACAGAGTTTTCTGTTCGAGCAACACTTCATGTGCACTTGATGGCCTTGTTCACAGAGAAACCCTGTTTGTTTGGGGACACAGGAATCGCGGATCTGTATATTGTCATTCGCGTCCACGGTCCAGGATCTTGCACACCACCCACCCTCCGGCAATTTACAGATGGATCGATTAGAATGGCTTCGTTGGCAACCAAAGGAACCAGTAATCGGGTCATGGCATAAACAACGGAGTCGTTTATGGCTTGGCTCAGGAACAAATGTCAGGCCGTCCAATATCGATGCAGGCAAGCGCCGCCGCCGCCTCCGCCGTTGTTGATGATGATCTGACAGACTGCGGACAACTGCAAGAAGACAAGGTGTACACACACGCACACACGCATGTGCGCACATGCACGCACATGCACCCACACACACACACATGCACGCACGCACGCACACACGCACGCACACACACATGCACGCACACACACACACACACACACACACACACGATATGTATCCTACTGTAGTCCTTCCCGGCATGCAACATGTCCATCAAACATCCTGTGCCTCTAAAGGGAGTTGTCAAGGCTGACAGCTAATTGTGGACTTAATCAAATGTAGACCGCCCAAAACACGCATAAATCAGTATGCAGCGAAGTCAGAACGTAAGTAGCGATTAACAATAGCGGATGCAACATTCACACTGTGACACTAACTGCACATATGCCAGGAAATCAAGAAGTGGCCAAGAGGTCATGTCCCTCCCTTATCAACAGTAAAACGTCTGATGGCACTCAGATCACCGGCTGGATAGACTTCATCAGGACAAGCTTGCAAGCAGCCTACCAATGCTGATGCAGGGGGCATGGTGTTCAAACTGCAACAAGAACATCAGTTGCCACTGGACTGAGATAATGAGGCTAAAACTGCTCTACAGTACGGTGCTGAAGAACAGGTTCAGCATGCCGGTGCCGGGTGCAGAACACGGCTTTTTTTGGAAATTGGATATGCAAATGGGCTGTTCTTTCCTTCCGTCCAACCCCAGTTACTAAACAGAAGCAGTATGTTGAACACTATTTGCGTTTCGGCCCGTCATTTCCTTCCTACTGAATGAAACTCGTACTGTCATAGTGTTTTATGCCGCAGACAAGCAAGATCCATTCACATTAACTTAACCGTGGCGAGAGATTATTTTCTTTTGAAACATTGCAACTTTCTTTCTGTATGCTGTAAAACAAATAATCACATAGCTTCCTTAACCCAACAATGCTACTCAATAGTCACAGTACCCAGCCCCAGTGCACACTGCTAAACTTGTAGACGTTTTGCCTGCCTGGCAGGAAGCAGGAGTAGTGACCCAGGAGTGTGAGAAGGACGAGTACCCGTATGACAATGGCGGGGGCTTTACCATTGGGACCATTAGTCCATTACCCTTCTTGCACATCAGTAGACAATGTAGTGGTAAGGCATTGTTCTGCTGAAGTTGGAGATCCCTCCGTACAGAACAACCCAGTGGCTTGCAGAAGGTACCAACAATCAATAGTGATTTGCGCCATGAAGAGCACTACGAGTGCATTGTAGGTACAGACAGGTGGAGATGGGGACACTGGCAGCAGCTTAGCGAAATGCCTCCTCCCATCGTTTCGAACTCAGAGCCTCTGGCCAGTGTCAACGGTCAGCGGTGTGGAAGGTATGCCGTATGGAGCGCGGTACATTGACAGCATCGCGGGAACGGCAGCCACCTGACAAGGCAAGAGCAACATATTTTTACATTGCGCAGCTACAGCCAGAGAAGGCATGGTGTCTCAAAATAACAACAGCCCTGAAAGCGATGCTGCGCAATTCGCTAACAACACACGCACTGTTGTGAATGAGAGGAGTACTTCTCCTTTCGTTTTACCTAGCTAAGCAGTACAAGCTACCAGTTGCGCCCAAGTGTCTGTTTCTGGGCAGAGCTATGGTGCAGTGCTGGTGAACTCGTTGCGGTGCGAATTGTACACAAGGAAGTGAAGCGTGCCGCTACAGTCAAATCTCGAGGAAGAGGGCGACCGCTCCATTTTGCAAGTTAGCTCAACACCCCCATGCAATTTTCGCCATAATCGCATCACATAATCATTCTAATAGTAATACTAATTAGCTATGCGGAGCTAAAAAGAGTACTCGAGAGTAACTGCAGAGCAACTTTCCTTCGAAAACCGACGTTCGCGCCGGCTATAAACACACGGAACCCAGGCATGGCGGCCTCGAAAGGATCCTACGCAAAGGGGAGGCGAAGTAGCACAAAAATACATCGAAGAATCTGTCGTACACGCCAGCAGCACACAGCTACCGGCTAGCTGTGTGCTGTAGTAACGTATTAGGTCGGTGAGGCTTGCAATGCCTCCAGGGTAGGTTGTGTAAGTAGAAAAGCGTGACTGCGAAACAAAAGCCGATTAAACATTATCGTGTCAGAGTACGTCTTACCTCTTCGATCAGAAACAAATCCGCTCTGTCCCAGCCGCTCAGGGGCATTGCAGAGCCTCCCCGAGCGGCAGCAGAAAGCTCCTGGATGCTCACAAGTCTTGACATCGTCCGAACACGCCAACAGAAACTCAGATTCGTCGATGCCTGGTCCAGGAGATTCAGCGACAAATGAGCGTAGGCAGTGGCCATAGTTGGATGCCAGCACGCACGTACGGTTCGCTCTGCAGCTGCCGTCGCCTATGTTGCACGCACACTCCAGCGCTGCTGAACAGAAAGAAAATGGATCGTAAACACATCGACAAAGCCTAGAATAAAATCCCTAAGCAATAGCAAACATTTTCAGTCCCGAAAATGACCACAGCTCAAGTGAGTCAGGGCAATCGTGAAACCTACGCCCGCTGGCGAATAAGCCAGGATCATCAATGTAAATAGATTTCAGGCGATGAACACAAACAGAAGAGGCCATGAGGTGCCTGGCTCACTCAAGCGCTCACCATTTGCCTGCAAGCAAGTCGCGATCAATACGATCAGGAAACCCAATGGCCTGCGACTATTTAGGTGCTCCATTGCAGCCGACTCCAAGCTGGCCAGAGGAACTCTACCTCCTCGCCGTTTTGTTTCTTCATCGGGCCGACACTCCAAAACTTCTCGCAATTTGCTCTTGCCCTGCCGCTAATACTCGTCCAGTGGCCAGTGGACTGCCCGTACACACATTTCTCACTGTGTCTTTGTGTGTCGACCATGCACAAACTCAGTACTGCATACAGGCGCGGGTGGATATCACGATTTTTTGAGCCTCTATCCTCACTGCTGGGCTAGGCTGCGCGCTGCACGGCGCTAGTTGTCAGAACGAGCTACGACTCACTGCCACTATTAGCGCGGCCATGTATGCGAAAACTGCCATTTTTGACGTGCAATGTGACTGAACATGTACGTGCAGTGCACGTCTCTGGCGCGGAACTTCACGCAACGCAGAACCACAATCAGTCCACATACCGCACACACGCCATGATCATGGCCACTACATGTACACCGCACACACGCTCACCATACGCTCACAAGACGCTACTCACGAGGCGCATAGCATCACGTCTTCAATCGTGAGTGCGATGAGAACCGGCGCCGGTACTATACTGGTTCTCGCGTTTGTGTGTACATTATCATTATCGACAGTGTGTATGCAGCTGAGCGTGTGGACATACAGCCGCGTGATGGTCACACGATAATGCTAGCGCACTTCCCCGTCGCGTCTGTGTTACGATACGAGACAGCGCTCTCTCTAGCTTTGTCATCACGCACCAATCGAAAAGTCGATGGGCCGTGCGCACGTGCTCTAGCTCTGGAGTCCTGGTCATATGCATGCATATGCTGAGCGCTGGGTACTCTGGCCGCTTGTCTACGGCTCAAGAACTCAATACCACTGTTACCAGTAACACTGACTGAGAACACTACACGGTAGGTCTACAGCATGCCCATGGTACACGCTAACAGGAACCCTACCGTGTACCCTGTACATGTAGCAGAATGCAGTCGCGCATGCGCTGCAGAGATAGAGCTAATCAGCCTAATGCCACGCCCTCGAGCTGCGCGCGCCTTGGCACATTCACAGCCCTGGAGGCATGTCAACGCACGGTCATATGCAGGATGCGTTGACACAGTGGTTACACGCGCAAGTCAAAAGACATGTGGCACTGTGCCTGTGGCACGGAATCCGGGAGTTCAGCTACTAGTACTACTACTACTAGTAGTAGTACTAGTACTAGTAGCTTCAACCCTTCATGCACATGTACATTTTGTAGCAGGCAGACTCAAGGATGTCGACGTGACTTTGGCTATTATTATTATTATGAACAGTTTCGCGTACTTGAGGACCAGCCTCTTTCCGCCTCTGTGTTCCTGAGCAATAGAAGGAGAGAGACAAAACTATACTATTATGATGATGACAAGGGAAGACATGGACTGCAAGGTACGGTTTACAAATCGACAATAAGCAAATAGCACTGAGAAGGATGGGCAACTTCTGTTTCGTCAGTGTTCACTGTGCGTTTTTTACGAAGGCCTTCCACACTTGCCTGTCAGATGCCTTCTGCCGGAGGCTCTGCAGATGCGGGCTCCTCTTGAGTGGCGTTTGTCTGTGGACGCAGTCTTGCTGGATCTGGGTGACTAAAGTAGTCAGAGGTCTTCCTGGCTTGGCTGTGTTCGGTGGATTGAAGTAGAGTGCCATGGCTTGTTGCGGTGGTGTGTCTTCGGGTAGGCGTAGGACATGTCCCAGCATGGTCATTCTTCGTCTGTGGACTTCCTCGGAGATGGGCTGGCTCTGACATCTCCGGTATAACTCGATGTTTGTGATACGATTGGGGTAATGTATGCCCAGTAGCGAGCGAAGCTGTTGCCTGTGGAACACGTCCAGCTTGTCACTGACTGCCTTTGTTGATCCCCACGTACAGCAATTGTACAATAGGGTCGGCAGAACATATGCGTTGTAGAGGCGAACTCTGCGAGCTTCTGAGAGACTTTGGCTATGGTTGTGTAATATTATTACATGTACAAGTATTTCCAAAGCTAGACTTGAACGTAACGTTATAGTTTGTGCTGTGTACAATCATGTACATGTATAATGTACAATGTACATGTACATCCTGAACTAATCATGGCTGGTACTGTGGCAGAGTAGTAGCAGAGTCAGTTGGGACTCCGGTAGAGGCTTCACTCCGCTAAACTGAACAGTCAACTCCGCTGTAGGATGCTTTCTCAGGGAAAACCAAAAGTCCAAAACTGAACTTATAACTCACTTTCAAGTATCAGTGACAGTGTGTGAGATTGGAAGGAGGTTAGGAACTTACCACCGGATGTGGTGCGATCATGTGTGCGTTGCTTCTCTTTCACCTGTTGATGGTCCAGTCCTACACTGCACCTTGATTTCACCAACCGGAGTAACACTGGAGCAAGAAGTCTTGCAAAGGTAGTGCACGCCGAGATGAATAAGGGGGCAAGTGGAACTCGTTTGGTCGCAGTGAATAGCCTTTCACTAGAACAGTGTACCGCGCTGCCTCTCACACCTATACTGTACACCATGGTACACTGTACCATGGTGTACACTGTACCATGGTGTACACTGTACTTCGTCTCACTGAGGACTAGGTTGAGTAGTGAATACTACTGTACTACATGCAGACGCAGTATCCCGCAAAGTCCATACTGCACGATAGAGCAAGTGACATTGTATTTGTAGATCGCGATTCAATACTCGAAACGGAATGAGTTCATCAGTCATATCATGTGCTTTGAGTGGAAACCACGTGGCTCGTGCTTGTCTTGCCACGCCATGCATTACAAAGCAAAGCAAACGATCTAATCAGCTGTAATCGCAAACCTCAATCCCCGATATACTGGTCACGTGATTGTTGATGAACACCGTTCTGAAAGCACTTGATCGTGATTATGTTTCTGCTTTGTAATTGTACTAAGTAAATACTATTATTATATAGCATGCTTGCTGCAGCCTACATGTACATTACTGATTACTAAATCTTGCTTGTATGTCAATCACATTTTCGGAATATTGTAGTCAGTTTGCTGCCTGATGATCCATGAAACCATGAAACTCGGAGTTTCAGGAGAAACGCTTTGTTTCCTTCTTTCAAGTAACATTAGTCTGTGTGGCATTGTACACTGTACATGTACACTTTCTACATTGTACTTCAGTCCAGTATCAGAGAGCGCCTGCTTGCTTGCTTTGACTCACTTGAACTGTGGTCGTTTCTAGGACTGAGAGGCGTGCTACAAAAAGTCAGCGATGCCCGAACCAGAATGGTGCTTTCCCGCAGCATTGGACAGTCTCAGACATGTACAAATCCAATCAAGAGTATAATACAATCATGTACAATGTAGGCTGGGAGGTTATGATTAACGGATTTGCTCTTGGTACAATCTGTATGTGTACTCGTAAAATGTACATGTACATGCACTGACAAAGCTCGAATTCGAAGTAAAAAGTCATTCACTCTTTCTCGGAATTCGAAGTACATGTACATGTACATTAGGCTTTCCTTGAACCCAGATAACGGCTTAGAACTCGACTCCCGCACATAACATCTTGTACTCGTACATGAGTTCACCTGTCAAAAGCTACTCGGTTGATATCCATAGGATGATGCACCAACAAACTGATTATGCTACTGCTAGGATACTCTTTTTCTTCTTCTTGTACCAAGTAACACTACAGCTGTAACACTAAGTCGTATCGTTCAGTAACGTTACGGCTACTAGTTGGGTATATCTTTGTAGCACGTTACTATTTTGTATTTAGTAGTATTTATTTTATTTAGTAGTAGTATTTATTTTATTTACCATCGGATGCCTCAACAGTGATACACACAACTCTTAAGAGGGCCGATAACGGGATAAGTGGAAAGGAAAGGAAAAGAAAAGAAAAGAAAAAATAGAAAAAATTTGGAATTCAGCCATCAAGCAGTACAGTAATCAAACACCAAGTCAACTTCAATATTTGTTTTGTAGGCAATTACCATGGTTACTGAATCAGAACGACGTAACTAAACAGTTACACTTTAGACTAGTACTAGTAGTACCAAGAGTACATAAACCAGAGTGTGCAACTGTGCATATCAGATCTGAAACAGCGCAGTTCGTGCACTACGTCACCCTGATGAGATCAGCCAAGCCGCGACTTGCGTAGAGCTCAAATTTTCATGTTTCATAGCCCGGAAATCAGCCAAGTTTGCTTGATTTTAGACGTCCTGTTTCAGGATTTCGGTGTTTTGTGTGACTGTGTACGCTGCGTACATCCACCGACAAGTAAAGTCACCAGGCTATCCGTCTCAAAAAACCGAAATCAGGACAAACTCAGTGAACTGCACCACCACCGCGACTGGTTACGCAACTTTTCACCGTACCTGTGGCTTACCATGCCGTCAGAAATGACGTAGTGCACGAATTACGCTCCCACAGGAACCATCCCGAGTTGCACACTCTGGTTTATGTACTCTTGGTAGTACTCATGGTACTAGTAGTACTTACAGGACGATAGCCTCCTCCCGCTACAGTAGTCCGGGAGCTGAAATCTGTAGGATGCTTTTTATTTTCGGGGTATGCCACTTCAGAGGGAGGACTTGAAACTTCGCACAGAGGTAGGTAAGGGTCTCTAGAGGACGATTTGAGAACTTGGCCGTCCCGAAGCTGTGCACCAATGCCTGTGCAAGGAGGTTTGTTCGCTCGTCGAACACTATTTCGTTGCCGTGATTTCACAGTTTTTGCGCCATTCAGCGCTTGAAAAATGGGGAAAATCAGCGGGTTTCGCTGACGTAACCAGACATTTTCATGCGAATGACTCAATTTTGCTAGATTGTCAAGAGAAACACAAAGAAACACGAAGCGAAACGCAAAGTCACACCGTCGATGAAGTATTTTTCATTCTGTTTGTATAATTGTGTCGTTCTGAGTTCTGAAGTAACATACAGTAGCTGGTTCGTCGGAGGAGGACATGACTGGTGTTCCTGAGATTGTCGTGCGTAACGGCTAAATGACTTGCCACTTGACCCTGATGTCGACAGGCAGGTCTCGTAGGAACTGTCCGTCTCCATCGAGGTGACTCTGGATTGTTTTTACCAATAGTGTTTTGTAGATTGATCCTCACTACAAACAAGAGTACTCCTGCTACAAACGATTTCCTGCTAGTCAATGAGCGGACTGACAACGTGTGTTAAAGGTGGTAAGGTACACACCATGGCAGCTGCCTTGAACGGAATCTTTGATTATAC